TCTCTCTCTCTCTCTCTCTCTCTCTAGCTGGCGTGCGTGCGACGACAAAAGATTTTTTTTTGTGTAAAAAATAAAAATCCGGATCAAACTTTCAAACTTGTGTTTTTCGTGTGTGTATGTTTTATGTATGCAAAAAACTAATCAATTTTATGCATCACTAAGAATTTGATTTTGGCTTGCTCGTTTAAGAGTTAGTTAGCATTTTACACATAACCATATAAATTGATTAAAATGCAATTAACCACATCACTACCAACCATCATCAACATCAGCAATTTTTATGTATTCATAACGGCAATCTTGTGTCATTTCGTTCGGTTGTTGTTCGCTTGTTGTTGTTGTTGTTGCCTTGGATGATGAACAATCGGTTTAAATCAAATTTAATCATGTTTAGACAACAACAACAACAAAAAAACTTTTTAATTAATTAATCTTTTTCTATGTTGTTTTGATAAGTTTCTTCAAAAAGAAGAAGAAGAAGAAATCTTTAAGATAATCAAAAATAAAATAGTTCGCGTGTCTTTTTTCTCTGTGTTTTGTTCAATTATCCTATCCTGTTTTGATTTTATCTTTTTTTTTTATTTTCGAGTTTGATCATTAAATTTTTGTTGAAATTTCAACTTTTAATCTTTTGGAAAACTGATTGGAAAAATTTTTTTTCTTCCCCCTTTTCTCCTTTTGTTGTTCAATTTCCAATGATAAAATGATAATAAAATCAAATGTCACAGTGCTTAAGTCTTTTTTGGCCATGTAATAAAAAAAAATGGCTTGAAAGATGATTGAAATCAAGGAGAAAAAAATGTTAGTTTTTATTTGATTATCATTGCTTTATCTACATAATCAATGTTTGAATGTTTGTTTCGAAATCGAATCGAAAAAAAAGTGTCAAAAAGAACGTATATAATGATTGAAAAACGCTAATGTTTTCCGCTAATAACAACAATTGCCAAAGATTTCCCTATTTAATGATAGCCAATCAATCGAAAATGATATGCACGTGTC